GCTCCCTCGGGGCGACCGCAGCCTAAACGGGGCCTCTGTCCCCGTCCTTGCTCCCTCCCGAAGCCGCCGGCGTCCCCGCAGCCCCGAACCTCCGAAACAGCCCGTGGGGAGGGGGTGAGGGTGGGCACAGGGGCACGGGCTCGCCCCGGCAAAGAAAAGCGCAGCCTGGGTGTTCTGCCATCAGCGTTGTTTAATTTAGACTGTTTAGGTACAATAGAAAATAAACCCGAAAGCACATGCGATTTTTGGTAACAAATACTCGAGACAGGCAGCGTCATCCGCGGGCTCTCTGCAAGCCGGAGGAGGGAAGCGGCGAGCGGGCACAGACGGGAGAAGGCAACGGGGAACTGGCGGGGAAGTTTAGGAGGAAATGGCCGTCGACTTTTATTATTACTATTATTATCCTAATTTTTAGCCACATCGATGCATTTCACCACCGAAGAGGAGAAAGGTGGGGAACGCGGGTCCACGGGAGCCCACTCAGTATCTGTCTCGCACGGCCGCGGTCAGACACAGGCACTTGGTAAAACTCTAATACTGCAGCTTTTGATTATTTTTTTTCACCTTATTTTTTCCTTTTTTTTTTCTTTCTTTTTTTTCTTTTCTTTTCTTTTTTTTTTTTTTTTTTTTTTTTTTTTTTTTTTTTTTTTTTTTTTTTTTTTTTTAATTTAAACTACATCGAAATCTTTTTGGTAAGGCTAAATATGAAAAATGTAAACGTAACTTCCCCTCCCTCCTTCCACTCCGACACAGGGCTCAGTAGAGCGGTTCTCTCCCTCTGTCCCCGTCCCGGCTCCTCGGGGACCGGGCCGGGCAGCAGCAGGGATGCGCCGGCCGAGCCTGCCCCACCGCGCCCGCAGCGCTGGGATTTGTTTGGGTGGAATCGGATCCAGCGGGGCTTGGGATTTTTATTTTCTTTTTTCTTCCCTTTCCTCCCCACCTCCCCTCCCCTTTTTTTTTTTTTTTTTTTTTTTTTTTGTAATTCCCGTTGGGATCAACTCGTCTGAACTCGACGGGGTGATGAGGATTATTGCCGCTCTCTGCGTTTGGCTACGTGGAAAAACAAAAGTTAAAAAAATCGTGGTGATAGTGGGAGACGCTGAGGGGGAACTGGAGCAAGAGCCGATGTGGGGTTGTGTGAAAAGAGCCGAGAGTCCCGTTAAGAATCAGCGGGTGAGCTGTAAAACCGGGTGCTGTCCTCTATGTACAACCCAGAGCCTCTGTCCCCGAGCAGAACCTCCTCTCCCCATCCTCCGGCCGCCCGCCGAGGGCCTTTAGGATCCCAGATCCACCAGGCTGGACGTGAGGGGTCCCAGCAGCGAGTCCTGGAGCTGGTGGCCTTGGAGGCTGTGAGGGGTCTGGGATGCGGCTAAGCCGCTCAGGGAATAGCCGGAGCTCCTGGCGTGGCTGAGGTTCCCCTGCAAGAGCAGGACCGAGTTCTGATCCGGGCTTTGGGGAGGAGAAAACTCTTCCTCGGAGCTGGACATGAGGGGTTTGCTCCCATCCAGAGGCGAGAGTTGGTTCGGTTTGTTGGTGGCCGCGTTGTTGTTTTCCGTGTTCTCTCTGCGGAAAGGCGAGAAAAAAAAACCAAAAATATAATCCCACAACGGGGATGTTAGGGCGGGCATGAGGCGGCGGGGATGGGCATTGTGCTAATGCCCACCATAAATCCTTCGCGTTTAGTTCCAGCGTGGGAGCAAATGCTTCTCAAGGGGGGAAAAATAATCCTAATAATTTCATAACCTATCGTCCCTATTTCTTTTGCCCCTCCTCCAAATAAGTACACTGAACAACCCGGTAATATAGCTGAGGAGGGGAAATTGGATGAAGAGATTTTTTTTTTGAGGGTCGTTTTTTCTTTCTTTTTAATTAAAAATGAAAGTGCGGCCCGGGGACGAGCTGCGTGCGGGGTTTTCTCCAGGAGGAAGGAGATGCCCTCCGTGGCTCCCTCCCCGCCTCTTTGGGCCGAGCGGTCGCCTCGCACCGAGGCCATCGCGTCGCCTGCCGGGCCCGGCCAGCGCGCCCTCATCCCGCTCTCCTTCTGCTTCCCCCGACCTCTCCATCCAACCCGGAGCCGCATCTCTTTCCTCTGAGCCTCGGAGCTACCCTACCCGACCCTCGGCAGCGCACCACCCGGCATCCCGAGCGCTTCCCGGAGGCGCCGGCTCCGCATCGCTCCCGGTTTACCCGGGAAGGCAGGCAGCAAACAAAGGCGGCGGAGCGGCCTGGAAGAGCACGGTGGGGGTTCCTCCTTCCCCCAGGGCAGGTGAGGTCGAGTGGATCTCGGGTGGAAAAACTCACTTGGGTTTCCACGGAAGGGGAAAACGCAACGGGGTTTGCGGAAAAAATTCAATGAAAAGGATTTGAAGGGAACCGTGCGCTTTCATCGCTCCTATCCCGTCCGGCTCGGGGTACTGGCCGAGCTCCCGGAGCAGCTCCCGGGCTTCCCAAACGCGTCCCGCACGGTGCAGTAGGGAGAAAAGCAGGGAACGGAGGGCTGGCACGTACCTTTCCTTCGCCTCCGCCGCTCGGTCCCGTTGCCTCCTGTTCTTGAACCAGTTGCTGACCTGGGTGGTGGTGAGACCGGTGGCTTCCGCCAGCTCCCGCTTCTCCCGGGGGGACGGGTAGGGGTTGTGGGCGTACCATTCCCGCAGCACGCCCCGGGATTTCTCCTTGAAGCAGTAGCTGGTTTCCTCGCCGTCCCAGATGGTGCGGGGCAAAGGGAATTTTCGGCGGACGCGGTATTTGCCGACGGCGCCCAAGGGTCTGCCCCGCAGCTTCTCGGCTTCCACGTAGTGCGCCTTCAGCCAGAGCTGCTGCAGCTTGGGGTGGTTGTGGGGAGAGAACTGGTGGCTCTCCAGGATCTTGTAGAGCTCGCGGAAGTTGCCGCGGTGGAAGGCCACCACCGCCTTGGCCTTGAGGACGCTCTCGTTCTTGTGCAGGTGGTCGCAGGCCGGCAGCGACCAGAGGAAGCGGCCCAGCCTCTCCAGGTTCCCCCCTTGCTGCAGCACCTCGCAGACGCAGGCGACCTGCTCCTGCGTGAAGCCAAACGACGGCAGCATCGACATGGCCGAGCGCGGCGGCGGCCGCAGGAGGACGAGGAG